TATTTAATATAAATTTTTAGACACTCTGTATAAGGTAGTATTTTATTTATTATTGCAACACAAAGCCTGATCAATAAATAAATTTCAGTAAATATTTAGTATTAAACCTATTATTTAATACCCTTGGAGAAATAAAACCTTACATTTTTTACTGCAATTTCACATACCCTTGGCCCTTGGAGAAATGAAATCTTAAAATCTTTACTGCAATTTCATAAAATGGAAAATATTTCAAAAACGGTAAGGTTTAAGTGTGATAAACCTTAATAAAATTTTCCTTTATTTCAATCGTAGAATCTAAAAATATAATAATATACAGGGTGTTCCATTTAAAGAAATAAAAGTATATTATTTTTTATTTATTTGGGTCACTCTGTATCTTGTAAAAATATTTTTAAATTGTAGCTCTAATAGTCCTTCAACGAATCCAAAACTTACAATTTGTAAAAACTTAATCGTTTAGCTACAATACCCCGTGTCGTATGAGGTTGAACAACCCTGTATATTATGTTTATTGTTGAAGTTTCTGAGAGTGACACTGGCAGCTTTAAAGTGATTTATTTAAAATCCGATCAATTTAATCAACATGAATACTACTAAAATTATTTAACTTAATCAACATGAATACTACTAAAATTATTTAACATCTAACAAATCAACCAATATAAAATTAACCAATAAATTGGCAGACAATTTTGGATGCGTGAAAACGTTAAAAAAGAGTTTTAAAATCAACCTTAATGGGGGTTCGAACTGAACTATTATTCTTAGGCTTATTTCGAAATCGTCCTCACACTCATAGCAAATGCAGAACAATTAAGTAAATTTTAAACCCAATGAATTGTATTTAAAAATTATTTAGATTTTTAAACCTTTTTATAATCGGATTTTTATCTGAATATTGATAAAATTCTCTACATTTTCTTGGCTCCATAACATGCAATATCAACATTATATGAAACATAATGCTACTATCCCAGAACAAAAACTATTGCCTAGCTGTAATAATCTAAATAAATAATTAAAAAATGTTGTACGCTATTTCATGCCCTAATCGGCACATATTAATGCTTAATAATAGTAATAAAATCAGAATACAATGTTTCAATCAAAGATTTTTTAGATTTAGATAAAATTAGATAAATTGTTTTGAACTCAACCGAAAAATAGTACTACAAAATAAAACAAAACGAAACAGAGTATGACATTAACTGGGCTATATTTTAGTATACGAGGGCTCATCATAAAATACAGGGCGGTCCGAACTGTATTCCGGAAACTTCGGCAGCATATTCTGCAGATAAAAATAATTAAAAAAGTTCGTATAAAGGTATATCCTAAAATGCTTAGTTTCGGATATACAGGGTGTAGAAATGATATTTTTATTTCGATTTTTTCCAAATAATTTCTGAAGTAACATCAATATTTAGATGAAAATTGGTGTCTGGGAGTTTTTTGACATGAGAAATTTGATTTTGATGTCAATATGACTCCTTGGGCTCTACCTACATATTTTTTAACTGATTTGACGAAAATAACTTTCCGTCCGCACTTGTATAAAACTACTGAGTAAAAAAATATACATTTACGGCGTTTTTTACGTAAAAAAGATCTCTTGGTAAAAATCGCTAGGTACATGTAATGATTGTCGAGATATTTGGAATCGAAATTATCAATACCGGTCATCATTGACATAAATTAAACACCTTGACTAAATATTTATTAGACTGCAATTATAAATTTGAAATTATTTTAGGTCAAAAGTTAAACAGAAATTGTTTTATCATCATTTTTTCGAAAAAAGTTTATGATTAATTGAAAAAATAAAAATTGCCCAAATTTATCATTTTGGTCAAATAACTATCTACTCAACATGTTTATTTTTTGTCAATAATAACATGTAATGACCATTTCCATTTTAAATATCTTTAAAACGGTTACTCGTAGCGATTTTTTCCAAGAGACATTTTTTATTTTTATTTTTCACTCGGCAAATTTTGATAGGTACGGAAAATAAGCAAACAGACAAAAAAAAACAACACATGTAGATGGCGCCCCCTACAAATAGGAGTCGTATTAACCTCAAAATAACATTTTTCATGGCAAAAACCTCCCATACACCGATTTTTATCCAAATATTGGCGTTACTTCGGAATCGTACACTTCAGAACTTCTACACCACTATTTCCGAAACTAAGCAATTTAGGACATACATTTATACGACCGTTTTTTACTTATTTTTATCTGCAGAATATGCTGCCGAAGTTTCCGGAATTCAGTTCGGACCACCCTGTATATGAAAAATATTTTGGAATTGCTCTTTTAATAATAATTTCATATAGAAATTATTCAGATTGATTTGATAAGATATTGATTGAATGTAATTCATATCCTTTTTTTTCAAAAAGACTAATAACTTGTGAATCATGCGTTGTTGGTGGAAAAATGTAAATATATTGGTTCTGACAATATTTCGGCAAATTTTACAAAATCCGACTTGGAAGATCGAAGCTACAGAATTACTATAAATATTCTCTGGTGTCCCTCAGGGCTCAGTATTGGTTCCATTATTGTATTTGGTTTACACTCTGCTAAGAGTTATAAACTATTAAAAATTAACTACTAGACTTTTAGCCAGAGTGTTAGATGATCAAAATTTTAAAATTCAAAATTGTTCATGATTAAACATCAACAAAAAAGTTGTTTACCGCATATAGGGCTCTCTCCAGTAAATATGATTTCAAAGCTTTGCGGAAAGCGGGAAAGAATGAAAGTGACTTGATATTCAAAGGCAAATGATTGTAAATTTTTTTGGCATTGTACATTATTGAGCCCTTAACTAGTTCTGAGCTCGGGGTAAAGATCGTGCTCGCATTTCTAAGTGGATAGTTGTGAGATGGCCTTTACGGAATAGCAGATATGTGTTATGCGCATTCGAAGTAAACGAATTCAAAAATGAATAAGGAAGGATGAGTCAGTATTTTAAATTTTTTAAAGAAATTCTGGTAGTGAGTTCTATTGTTCAGTCCCAATAAGTATCGAACTGCTCTCTTTTGAAGTTTGAAAATACGATCAAATTTTGTCGCGCAGCAAGTACCTCAGAATGGAAGGGCATAACAAAGATACGACTCAAAAAGGGCATAATAGACCATTCTAGAGGTTGATGAGTTAAGTTCCTTAGAAACTGATCTTAGCGCAAAACAGGCAACGCTTAGTTTCTTTGATAAAGCTTCGATGTACAAGTCCCATTTTAACGAGTTGTCTCCAACAAGTCCTAAGAATTTCTCAAAGTCCATGACGGCAATAGTCATGTTATTAAGTACAAAGGGTTGTATAGTACTTTTATATGACAAAACTTCAGTGTTTCAAAGGTTGTGGCATAGGAGATTAGAATCGCACCAAGATTTAATGGTGCGTAAGTCACTGGATATATTATTATATAGTGCCGTAACATCTGGGCCGCTCCAAGTGAAACTAGTATCGTCCGCAAAGAGACAGATTTTACCGCTAATGTCTAGAATTGCAATGTCGTTGATAAACGCCAGAAAAAAAATAGGGTCAAGTACTGAACCCTGAGGGACACCACATTCTATAGGCTTAAAAGAAGACATAGACGTATCAATCCTCACAAGCTGCCTTCAAGATATGACTTAATTGACCATTTGAGCGGCACTCCCCTGAATCCATAGTATTGCAATTTGTTAATTAAGATATTATGATTTACACAGTCGAAAGCCTTAGAGAAATCCCAGAAAATTGTAGCTGTAGAGTGATGGTTATTCAGGCTAGAGTATACATTATTAAAAAGGTCGAACATAGCATCATTTGTGCAACTGTTACTTAGAAATAAAAATTGATGGGTAGTAAGTATTTAAGGGGAAAAGAGGAGAAGCCTTTTTTTAACCAATCTTTCTTCATGATCTTAGATAATGTGGACAGGAGAGCAATTGTGCGATAGTTCGAAGCTTGATCTTTATCTCCCCCTTTATGCAAAGGAATAATTATTGCTGTCTTAAGGCAGTTTGGAAAAACTCCTTTTTGGAATAACTGGTTAATTAAAGTAGTAAGATAGATTAACGTGAATTCCGAAAGTTCAGAGAACATTTTGAGAGTAAGCCCATCAGTTCCAGATGAGGATTTGTTTTAAATAATAAAGACATCTTACATAAAATGTTTTGCCTATGACCCATAAAGGTACAGTCAATTTAAGTGTAAAAGATATGAATAAACAGTCGTAGACATTAATGCAAATTTAAAGAGTGTCCATGATTTTGCTAGAAAACATAATTTGCGTTTAAATCCAACTAAGCCAAAAACAATACTATTTGGTTCCAAAAAAAAACAACTTATTTAAAATCAAAAATAAAACTATATATAAATCATCAGCCGATAGAAAATGTAGAATCTGTTAAAAATTTTCCAAACCATGGGTTACTCAAATACCTCGAAAACTTTTGTATCCCAAATGACCTATAATATAAAAAAACTCTGTGTCAGAGTCTACGTACTATAGTATATTTTCCATGCCATTGATGCTTACAGTACACATACAATTGAAAACAACTGCTGGCGTTTAATACTAAATATACGAAAATATTATCACATTTCCCCAGCTTTTGAGACCCGCTTAATCTAAAATCGCCAAATATCAAAGTCGAGTTGGAAGACTTTTTAACATCAAATTAAGTAGGCTGCCTTCCAGCTTACTTGGATGCTAGGAACAACTTCCGGTTAACTTGGTCCAGGTACAGTATGACCGTGTCAACCCGGCTTTACTAACTAACAAAAATCTAAAACTCCTTTGAAGTCCCTCGTAAATTTACTTCATAATTGTAATTACCAGAGATCAGTTATCTAACATTCTTTAAGCCTAAATCACATAATATCTCTCAGTGCCATACCTAGCGATTAAAACGTTACGCTAGCCAAACTCATAACAGCATAAAAAACAATTCTTCCATTGCCTCCGCTTAGTAGAGGTAAAGCTTTTAAGAGAAAAAATGCATATTACAGTAAGTTCCGTCATTTTCCTCATCACGATAACGCAAGTGTACGTCAAAACCGATAGTGTAACGGAGTTCTACAAAGTAGTTGTCATATTTAGAGACTGTCTAGCTAAAAGAGTTCCGTCAGTTTGTTTCAAGGAGCGTCTTTTGAATGCTATGAATGAAACGATATTCGCGGATGAATCGATTCAAATTGGGTTTATTCAAATTGAAAAAAATCGCGATTACAACTGGAACACAACTTCAACTAACGCTACATCCAGAGGCGTTAGTAAAAGAAGTATCAATCTTAGTGATGCGTTGTTGGAACGGCTTGAAGAATTCTGGAAATCCCGGACGATAAAGTTTAATGTTGATGATGCTGTTGAAGGTATGTATATATTTATGACATTATGTAAGGTTTATTAATTATGTAGTCCCTCACGGTACTCTCCCTTTTTTAAAACATATTTCGTATAATTTAAAAAAGAGCCTCAAATTACTAAAATTATGTAATAATTCCATCAATTGCAATTATAAAAGAAGCTCATGCCGTTTTATAGACAGTGTAATTAAATATGGATAATTTTGGATTATTAATTAATTAATTTTAATTACATTACGTTTATTTGTTAAATGTACAGTTTTATAAATAAATCCCTTTATTGTCAAAAATTTTTGCAATTTGTAGACGAACAAACAAACAAAAGAGAGACGAGAATACAAAACATTATACAAATAACATTGTCAGTCTTATTGTTTAAAATAAACATTTATAAACGTCAAAGAATAAAAAAATAAAAAAAATAATAAAAATAAGATTCAAAAATATTTAGTAAGTTTATACTAAATATCAATGACCTCTAGATAAATCCATTTCGATGTCATTGGTAAATATAGTAATAGCAAACATTAGACCAGTGTTTACAAGATTAAATTCGATTATCAAAATATAAGTCATTTACAGCGTAGAAAGCCTTGTCTAGTAAATAAGATTTCAATGCTTTACGAAATGAAGAAAATGATGTTAAGGATTTGATTTCAAATGGCAGGTATTTGTGCACTTTTTTCGAGTTGTATAATATTGAACTTTTAGCGTGGGGTAGGCAGAGAAAGATCTTGTTCCGTGTTCCTGAGTGGATAAGTGTGAGATGGCCTTTCTTGAGAAGCTGATACATGCTTACGTATTAGGCAAACGGATTTAAATATAAATAAGGAAGGAAGAGTTAAAATTTTTAATTTTTTAAAAAAGTCCTGGCAATGAGTTCTGCTGTTTAGTCCCAGTGAATATCAAACAGCTCTCTTCTGGAGCTTGAAAATGCGGTCAAATTGAGTCGCACAACACGTACCCCAGAATGGAAGGTCATATCTGAGGTGCGACTCAAAAAGTGCATAATAAAGAGTTCTAGCCACTGACAAGTTAAGCTCCTTAGAAACAGATCTTAATGCAAAACAGGCAGAGCTTAATTTTTTCGACAAAGCGTCGATATTTTTTATATTTTTATATAGAATTGTCTACAACAAGCCCTAAGAATTTTGCAGATTTTACGACGTCAATGGTGGTGTTGTAAGTAAAAAAAAAAACTTCGCTGCAGCGAGTTTTTATACGACAAAGCTTGAGTTTTAGAAATGTTGAGACTCAGGAGGTTCGAATCGCACCAAGATTTAATGGTGATTAAGTCATTTGATATAATCCTATGAAGTGCCGTGACGTCCTTGTTGCTCCAAGTGAAGCTAGTGTCGTCCGCGAAAAGACATATTTTACCATTGATGTTTATGTTAGCAATGTCGTTAATAAAAAGAAGAAACAAAATAGGGCTTAGTACTGAGCTTTGAGGTACTCCACATTCTATTGACTTGCTAGAAGACAACGTGGTATCCACCCTCACAAGTTGACTTCTCTTGCTCAGATACGACTTATACACTCATATTAAGTGTTTAAAGTGACATTGTATCAGCTAATGGTATAAAATAACTTACTTAACTATTAACTAGTGGAACACTTTTTCGTAATGTTCTCTACACTTTGCAGGCAGTAAATGGGTAGCTGCTTCTTGAGCTTCCTCAAAAATTGCTACAGGAATATCAAGATTTTCTTTTTGAATTTTTTCGTAGTTTTTAAAAACATTAAGCTCATAAATTTACTTCTGTCAAACTTTTGTTTGTGTCAATACTAAACTACATAGTTACGATAACAAGCGCTTTCTTTAGTTCGATTTTTAAAAATAATGCTTGCTGTTAATTTTTCCTATCAATGTTTTTATAAATTTAACTTAATACATACACGTATTTGAGGATACTAACCGACCAGATGGTTCTGGTTTGCTTCCCAAGAGAAAACCAACTTAAAACGGAACTCAAGGACCGTGAACCTCCACCCGTAATCTGGAATGAAGATCCTCCAACAGTTTAAGATACTCGGAGAAATTTCTCAGGACTTACGACCGAGAAAATTCAAAGGTTTTTCTTGAGTACAATGAAGACACCTATGAGTCTCCTCAGGGCACACCTCTGTAGATCGAAGCTAAGAAACAACAGCGAATGCAGATTCTGGGGAGAAATGAGGAAACACCACCAAAAAACCTTATAACTGTGTGACAGATGACAACCATAAAGTTTGGTACGACTGATCGAAGATGGAGAACTAACCCCTATTATACCGTCCCAGATACGGGCTTTTGTGAAAGCCCTAAGACTTTATGATGAGTTACGGCTCAAGAAAGGGGGGCGCAATAGATCTATAAGATCGTGGTGATTAACTCACCCTCTGAGACGGTTTTCCAGAGCTTGGTTCTCCAGCTTAGATATCAGTAGTACCAAAGTTTATGGCATGAATGGTTGTCGTCTCGGCGCACTCAGTGAAGATGTGTTCTGATGTTCCCCATTTTCCCCACAGATGCATTTGCCGTTGTTTTTTAGCTTCAATCTACAGAAGTGTTCATTGAGGAGACAGTGTCATGTTAAAAATCCCGTGACAATCCGAAGATTGTTCTTACTTAAATCAAGAAGAATCTTTATTTCTCCCTGTCACAGGTTCCGAGAAATTTTTGAGTGTCTTAAACCTTTGAAGGATTGCCATTCCAAGTTACAGATAGAATTTTCCAGGCTCTTGAGTTTCTTTCTCTTTAAGTTGTTTTCCACTTGGGAAGCAGAACAATTCAGGGTTCAGTTAGTGGAGTGGTCGCTCCATATCTAGATAGATCGTTAGCTTTTTTTTATTGCATTCTATCTCTTCGTGGCCTGGCTCCCAGAGTAGGAGGACTTTATTTTCTATATCTAATTTGTTCAGCTGCTCTACGTAATCTTTGACCAATTTCGAACTGATGGTTACTGAGTTGACTTTGTTTCTTCAAAAGTGAATGTGTTGCTTCAAAGATTATACTTTGCTAATTATCAATTCCTACTTAAATATTTTAAAGTGTAATTTTTAATTGTTAATTGTTTTTAGGAAGGAAAAAAGGTGGAGGAGGTGGTGGAGGTGGTGGAGGCGGAGGAGGAGGAGGAGGAGGAGGTGGAGGCAAAAAGGGAATGTTAATGATGGCAGCTGCAGCTTGTGTTGGAGCAGGAATGATGATGGGGAAGGTAAATAACAGCTATTTAAATATTATTAAATAATTTTTACAGTTTTTAGGGTTCCGTACCCAAAGGGTAAAAACGAGAACCCTATTACTAAGACTTCGCTGTCCGTTTGTCCGTCCGTCTGTCACAAAGGTCTATCTTATGAACCGCTATAGCTAGACAGTTGAAATTCTCACAATATATAAATAATGTATCTATGTTGCCGCTAGAAGAACAAATACTAAAAACAGAATTAAATAAATGTTTATAAATAAGAAAGTACTTTCACTAAACATTATCTTTTAAGTAAGATTTTTACATAGAATCTTTCAAGTTCTCGGTGGCCGCGTGGTTAAAGCGTTAAGACTTTACGCTGCTATAACGTTGGAGCCGCTTTAAGGCAGGTTCGAATCCTAGTCACGGCGACTTTTTTTAATCGTTTTTTTTTAATTTTCCATATTTATTTTTACTTTTTACATATTTATTATTGATTAATACAATTTTTAGTAATGTGTTTCTTCATTCTTTTTAAAATTAGTTACACGCACATTCGAAATTTCAGCTAAATCGGAAAAAAAGTTTATAATAATATAGTGTCTAATGCTGTATAGATAATGAATGGTACGGAACCATTGGTGCGCGAGTCCGACTCGCACTTGACCAATTTTTTCATATTATCGATCTTTTATATTTATTACTGCATTGAAAATTATCATAAAGCATTTAAAGCATAGAAGATCATAAAAGCATCACAAAGATTTTTAATACACGTGTTTCGCTCATACGAGCATCATCGGACAAAAATACAATTAAAGTCGCACTACACACGTTCACATTTTACTTAATGAAGAAAAAGCACCTGGGTGCTCTTTTAATATGTAAAATGTGGTGTTGGATGAGTTTAATATGTAAGTTTGATGTTTTAATATATAAAATGTGAACGTGTGTGGTGTTACTTGTATTTTGTTAATTGTATTTTTGTCTGATGATGCTCGTATGAGCGAAACACTTGACATAGTTCATAGTTTAGTTTAATATAAATGCCGAGACCGAGACTTTGAGTCTTTTTTTCATTCCGTTTTTAATGTATTTATGTTGCCGTTTCTCATCATAATATGTTATAATGATGGCACCTACAAGGGCAGCGCCGAAACTACCCAAGTAGCAAATTTTATTTTATAAAGGTTGTATAAACAGCTATGTGATAATTTTTATAGGATACCTCAATTCATATAACGTCCTATATGACCGTAATATGATAGCTTTACAACCAAAAAAGGCCCATTTTTATACAACCGTTTAGTAGTATAGAAGTTCTATAAAAAGGGTATACAACTCTTATGCAACTATCTTACACAGCATTATATGACTATTATAAAACTAGTTTTATTGTGTATTACGTGGTCACATCTAAGAAACAGAACAATAAAAACATTTGATCATTTAGCGAGGTACAAGAGTATTTTATTTTTTACCGAAGAATATTAGGAGCAAATTATATTTTAAGCCTGTCGTAAAATGAATCTAGAGGATGTGGATTGTTAAAAATGAGACTTTACTCGACGGTAAAAATGGCGGGTAGAGCCAGAAGGTACAACAAATATGTAATATAAAAAATCATTAATAGGGTTTGAAAAGTAGGGACAATTTTATTGCGCCGAAAATTTTACTGGTAGATTATAGGTATGTATTTGGCAAAAATTAAAAGCGCTTTAATTTCGATTAAGGTTTACATATAAATTTAAACAATAAAATAAAATAAAATTTTTAAAAATTTTGTTTTAATTTAATTAAACACTTTATTACTGTATGTGGGAATCTTATTACAAAATAGTTCTCAAAAATAACATTTTACAATTTATTTTGATGTTTTTAATTTTGCTTCATATAATGGCGGCCATAGGCCATACAAAAATTCTGCCTTAAACATGGCGAATTATAATGCAACCATTTTATTATAAATGAATCCCTTAAATAAGTCTTTGTTGTAAAATAAAACGGTATAGAATAAATATCTATCATTACGCAGAATTTCCAGGCACTATAGAACTATTTTGGACATATTGAGATTTGTGACAAATAGATGTTGCCAAATCTCATTTGATTAGTATTTAAACTAACAAACATGATCAGATTTTCATGGATTCATGCACGCAATGCATTGCATGCGTGCCCGACGAGTGAGCGGCAACCTAAAGACTTGGCAACAATGCTTTGAAAAACCCAGACAACCCGAGAGATTTTGGCTTTTGAGAACCCAGGGAATTCTCGGGATTATTTCAGGGTTCAGTAATTTCGAGGAGTTTTTTCTTACATGCTCTTTATAACTACCAATGCGTTTGTTAACTTTTTTCCAACTTTGTCCAGCTTTGTCCATTCATAATAGCTGTGACTGATTATACTCATACGTAGATATTACTTTTGCAACAACAACAATAACAAAATAAATAACTAACCATTTAATTTAAAATGAGGTTATTTTATACATTACCAGTTTTATAATGCAGATATTACAGCGAATTTATTTTGTTAATCACAATTTTATCATATAAGGCTATATAACTGGTGTTGTATACAGCACCGTAGTTTAACGCAATAAAACATTCTATCAGACAACGTAATACAACTTTAATAAGAGAAGTTTAAGTAACTATTATATGATCTTGTGACTACTAGTTATGAATATTGGGTATAAGAGTCTAATAAAATAATATGTTTGTTATCATATAACATTGTCTTATTAAGTGTTATAACATACTAAAAGAAATTATCGTTTAATGCGTTATAGGATACGTTGTAAAAACCACTAGAAAATAGTTTAATATGACAACTTTTATTTAAAAACAGAATGGTCGAAAGCAAACGCTTAATAAAATCAAGCAGTCCTTAAGACAACGCTATTCGACTGTTATAAAATAATTCAATCCTTATAGAATTTCATTTTGCTACTTGGGGTGTTTCTTCATTCTTTTTAAAATTAGTTATACGCACATTCGAAATTTCAGCTAAATCGGAAAAAAAGCTTATAATAATATAGTGTCTAATGTTGTATAGATAATGAATGGTACGGAACCATTGGTGTGCGAGTCCGACTCGCACTTGACCAATTTTTTTATATTATCGATCTTTTATATTTATTACTGCATTGAAAATTATCATAAAGCATTTAAAGCATAGAAGATCATAAAAACATCACAAAGATTTTTAAAACACGTGTTTCGCTCATACGAGCATCATCAGACAAAAATACAATTAAAGTCGCACCACACACGTTCACATTTTACTTAGTGAAAAAAAAACACCTGGGTGGTGTTTTAATATGTAAAATGTGGTGTTGGATGGGTTTAATATGTAAGTTTGATGTTTTAATATATAAAATGTGAACGTGTGTGGTGTTACTTGTATTTTGTTAATTGTATTTTTGTCTGTTGATGCTCGTATCAGCGAAACACTTGACATAGTTCATAGTTTAGTTTAATATAAATGCCGAGACCGAGACTTTGAGTCTTTTTTTCATTCGCTTTTTAATGTATTTATGTTGCCGTTTCTCATCATAATATGTTATAATGATGGCGCCTACAAGGGCAGCGCCGAAACTAAAAGTCCCAACCCACTCCAACTAACATTGAAAATACTGTAACTACCCAAGTAGCAAAAAGAAATTCTAAACGGATTGAATTATTTTATAACAGTCGAATAGCGTTGTCTTAAGGACTGCTTGATTTTATTAAGCGTTTGGTTTCGACCATTCTGCTTTTTAGTAAAAGTTGTCATATTAAACTATTTTCTAGTGGTTTTTACAACGTATCCTATACCGCATTAAACGATAATTTCTTTTAGTGTGATATAACACTTAATAAGGCAATGCTATATGATAACAAACATATTATTTTATTAGACTCTTATACCCACCATGAAAGAGTTCTATAATATTCATATAACTAGTAGTCACAAGATCATATAATAGTTACTTAAACTTGTCTTATTAAAGTTGTATTACGTTGTATGATAGAATGTTTTATTGCGTTAAACTACGGTGCTGTATACAACACCAGTTATATAGCCTTATATGATAAAATGTGATTAACAAAATAAATTCGCTGTAATATCTGTATTATAGAACTGGTAATGTATAATATAACCTCATTTTAAATTAAATGGTCTACCTAATTATTTATTTTGTTATTGTTGTAGTAATATCTACGTACGAGTTTAATCAATCACAGCTATTATGAATTCTGGACAAAGTTGGAAAAAAGTTAACAAACGCAGTGGTAGTTATAAAGAGCATGTAAGAAAAAACTCCTCGAAATTACGGCAAATAATCCTGAGAATTCCCTGGGTTCCCAAAAGCCAAAATATCTCGGGTTGTCTGGCTTCTTCAAAACATTGTTGCCAAGTTGATGTAAAAGTTTTACTGTAGTAATGTTTTATTGTTGATTTTCAAAGTCCTTAGGTTGCCACTCACTCGTCGGGCATGCATGAATCCATGAAAATCTAATCATGTTTGTTAGTTTAAATACTAATCAAATGAGATTTGGCAATATCTATTTGTCACAAATCTGAATATGTCCAAAATAGTTCTATAGTGCCTGGAAATTCTGCGTAATCATAGATATTTATCCTATACCGTTTTATTTTATAACAAAGATTTATTTAAGGGATTCATTTATAATAAAATGGTTGCATTATAATTCGCCATGTTTAAGGCAGAATTTTTGTGTGGCCTATGGCCGCCATTATATGAAGCAAAATTAAAAACATCAAAATAAATTTTAAAATGTTATTTTTGAGAACTATTTTGTGATAAGATTCCCACATACAGTAATAAAGTGTTTAATTAAATTAAAAACAAGAATTTTTGAAAATTTTATTTTATTTTATTGTTTTATTGTTTATACGTAAACCTTAATCGAAATTAAAGCGCTTTAACTTTTTGCCAAATACATACCTATAATCTACCAGTAAAATTTTCGGCGCAACAAAAATTGTCCCTACTTTTCAAACCCTATTAATGATTTTTTATATTACATATTTGTTGTACCTTCTGGCTCTACCCGCTATTTTCATTGTCGAGTAAAGTCTCCTTTTTAACAATCTACATCCTCTAGATTCATTTTACGACAGGCTTGAAATATAATTTGCTCCTAATATTCTTCGGTAAAAAATAAAATTCTCTTTTACCTCGCTAAATAATCAAATGTTTTTATTGTTCTGTTTCTTAGATGTGACCACGTAATACACAATAAAACTAGTTTTATAATAGTTATATGAGGCTGTGTAAAATAGTTGCATAAGAGTTGTATATCTTTTTTATAGAACTTCTATACTACTAAACGGTTGTATAAAAATGGGCCTTTTTTGGTTGTAAAGCTATCATATTACGGTCTTATAGCACGTTATATGAATTGAGATATCCTATAAAAATGATCACATAGCTGTTTATACAGCCTTTATAAAATAAAATTTGCTACTTGGGTAAGAGTGTGAATATCGAATAAAAATCATATAATTTTTCCACAATTTAGATGGGTGTTATGGCAATGGCAGCCATGATGATGTCCAAGATGTCTTTGCTCCTATCTGCCATCATGATCCTGAAGAAGATGAAGATGGGAGGCGGAGATAAAGGCGACGATAAAGGAGAGAAAAAAATCAAAATCATCTACGCCACCAGCAGCGGCGGGGGAGGTGACTACGGCAAACATCCGTCAAGTGGTGGAGGGGGATATGGTGGTGGAGGTGGAGGTGGAGGAGGTTGGCACAGGAGTTTGAGCCAGGAACCCCAAACGATAACCTATAGAGCACAGCTACCTGCGGATGCAAATGCCAACGTTATATACGAAACGTAATAGTATAACAGTTAATTACTATAGTAAATATAATCGAGGGTGTTCCTTAATGACTTGACGTTAATATTTAAGGGAATGGTTCTTGGGCCTATCCTATGAAAAATATTACACACAGGGTGAGTTTCCTACGATGTTCTCTATGGGTATTTCGAAAACTACTGGAGATAGAGAGACGGTTAAATGGGAAAAGAATTGTAGTTTTTTGAGGTCGTAAATATGCGCCTTTCAGATTTTTAAAAATATTCTTGGCTTACTAGATATTTCGAAAAAAACAAATTTTGGCTATTTATAAAATTGTCCCTAATTCCATCAAAATCTATTTTAGACAAAAGGTTTTCAGATAAAAGTTGTAGATAATCACATCCCTAATGAGTTTGCGTTCTCCGATTTTTCCTAATGCCTGTTATTTTTGACATATGACACAAACATATTTTTTTTTAAATGGAATCCATAATTGGCTATGACTTCATAAAAAGCGCCATTTTTTTTTCGGCGATATAAGCTATAATATGTTTTTTTTTCACAAAATTACTGAGTTATAGCCAATTATTATCTTTCTTGACTAATTTCATTTAGTTAGTCATGGAAACAAGTTCAATCGTCGCTCTCAGAAATGTAAAACTGTCACATCCAATCTTTGTAAATTAAAATAAACAAAAATTCTAAATATGAATTTTTCAAATGAAGAAAAGCGTGTAATATTATTGGTTCAACTTTTCTGGGCCATACAGTTTCGAGGATACGTTGCCGGTGAACGTTACTTACGTTTTTTAGAGAATGGTTTTCAAGACATGTGAAACGTTAAATTTAGATACTCGCGCATTAATGGAGTGGTTTCAACATGTCTTTCCCTTTATTATGACCCCCTCCCCACCCCACAATGAAAGAAATGTTAAAAAATTGTTTATATCATAATTATGCAAACTCAGGGATAAGGTGAGGTATATCAATTGCATAGGCCTCCTCGATCACCTGACATATCCATTTTAGATTTTTTTATGTGGTATGGTTAACAACAAGGTTTACAAAAGAACTTATGAATTAAGGGAAGCACTCGAAGAGGCGGTACAGGAAAAGTTTAATTAAGTCGACCGGTCGTTCTGTGAAAATAGCTACAAATTCAGTTTTAAAAAGATGCATTTATGTAAAATAACTTAAAGTGTATGTAGTGATATTATTTTTATAAGTTTTAGTTGGTGTAATGTAAATTTTAAAGAGCCGTTTAATAATATATTTTGTCTTTTTATAAGTTATAAATCATAACAAAATAAGAACACCATGGCAACTAAGTGAAATTAGGCAAGAAAGATAAGAATTGGCTATAACTCAGTAATTTTTTGAAAAAAAACATATTATAGCCTATATCGCTGAAAAGCTTAAAAAATGGCGCTTTTTATGAAGTCATGGCCAACTATGGTTTCCATTTAAAAAAACATATATTTGTGTCATATGTCAAAAATGACAGGCTTTAGAGAAAATCAGAGAATAAAAACTCATTAGGGATGTGATTATCTACAACTTTTATCTGAAAACTTTTTGTCTAAAATAGATTATAATGGAATTAGGGACGATTTTTAAAATAGCCAAAATTTGTTTTCTTCGAAATATCTAGTAAGCCATGAACTTTTCCAAAAATCTGGAAGGCGCATATTTATGACCCCATAAAACTGCAATTCTTTCCCCATTTAACCGACTCTCTATCTCCAATAGTTTCCGAGATAGCCATAGAGAACATCGTAGAAAACTCACCCTGTATGAATGTATGTCATTTTATTTTATTTCATGATTAGGATGATATTTTAGATATCTTTATAACACTTTAATTCACGTCTTCTATGAATCAAAAATGCCTTTTTGATGTACAGAGTGAGTCAACTATAGGGTAAAGTCCACTATCTCATTTGTTTCAAAGTTTGTAATAAAATGTTAAAAATAAAAGTTATAGGAAAGGTTAAGATATATACATTTTTTAATTATAAATAACAGTTGAGAAATATATTTTGAACACCCTATAGCATCTTACTAAAAGATCTTTATATATGTCTTTTTTTCGTCTCTATAAAACTCTCCTACCAAAGTTATTATATTTTCCATCCTAACAACAGACAACATGTTTAGGACATTCATCAAAATGAAGTTTTTTTCTTAAAATATGTACAAGAATTACCCTTTTGAATATTTAGTATGTTATTAAGAAACATCCTGTAGAGTTAAGTTTGTAAATTAGAAAAAATACATAGTTTTTACGTACTACAAATATATAAAGTATATAAAAATTTCTAGTTAAAATAAGATAAGAGTATTATAAGGATGTTTAGAAGTAGTTAATAATTTATATAAATTATAATATTAATAATTAATAAATTTTTTAGAGAAAATAAATTACCTGTAATAATAGTAGATGATAGATTGAGGAGATGCTATAATAGGTAGATGTTCAAAACTGAATAATATTAAGAAGTAGTCATACAAGAAGATGGCAGGAATGGAAATATTTTTTTCATAACAAACATGTCTGATTCTTAAGTTATAATTAAATTTTAGAAATTGCCGTAGAAATATTATTTCCGTTCGGGACTTCCATAGCAACACATGTATTAAAAAAATGTTTCAGAAACCTGTTTTGAAAAATTTGCAAATAGTTTTTTATTATAAGAATCTTACTTTAAATATTGATAAAATGTTTACAGGGTGAGTCTAAAATAAGGGCAAATATTTTCATTATTGATGGATCTCTATAAAAAAACATATACCTAGTTAATTTAATTATAATATACTATTTACTGATTTTCAAATAAGTTCAAAATAACTTCAAAAGAGTTATTATAGTTTGAAAATTAAAAAAATAATATTTTTTTAGCTAAATTTTGGGAACCACTCAATTTTTCCTGGGTTTTCTTTCTTGTAAAATTAACTTACGACTGAAAATTAAAAAAAAATATATACAATTATACAATTTTAGCTAAATTTTGAGAACCACTCGATTTTTTCTGGGGTTTCTTTCTTGTAAAATTAACCTACTGCCTAATACCTCCTCGTTATATTATTATGAAGTTAGTATGTTTTTCTAACTGAAAATTAAAAAAAAATATATACAATTATATATTACAGTTGAGGGTTGGAACCTTTTGTGTTACACAGCAAAATAAAAACACTAAATCACCACAATACACCAAAACACTTTTACTTTTACACTGGACGTGCCTTTCGCTAACCATGTTAGCATCATCAGCAGATGATTATAAACTATATATATATATATATATATATATATATATATATATATATATATATATATATATATATATATATATAATAGTTTCTAATAATTTGCTGATGATGCTAACATGGTTAGCGAAACGCGCGTCCAATGTAAAAGTAAAAGTGTTTTGGTGTATTGTGTTGATTTAGTGTTTTTATTTTACAATTATATACAATTTCACATGAGTGTTTCTGGGGTCAAAATATACCACCCCTAAAAATATTTACACTTATTTAAGACCCACCCTGTAGAGTGTCCATACAAAGAGAGAAAGGAATTTGAACAAAAAGATAAAAAATAATAGTAAAAACAAATACTAGGTATTGAATTAAAATGACTGTCACTGTTCAAACATTTCATCAAATATTTTTTCCCAATATTTTCCGAATATATTTAATTATTTTATTTTTTTCTCGTACAGAAATTCTCTATAACTTTTTTATAAGTAATTTTTTGTAAGAAGTATTATTATATACTAGTTTTTTCCCGCGACTACGTTCGCGTTCCATCTCGAATCGTTCATGCATTGATTTAATTGATTGCTTACCTCTTTATAGATGGAGCTAGTGAGAGCCTTTCGAAACTATTTAAACTAAGTTTTTAAGAGTTTTAGAGCTACTCGTATTTCATACGAAAGTTAGCAATTGTCAATTTTTTGGATATTATAAAGGGCGAGTCTTGAATAAGTGCAAATATTTTCGGGGCTGGTAGATCTCGATAAAAGAAACATATTTCCTTTTTACCGTTTTTCAAATAACTCCAAAAAAAAAAGAGTTATTTTACTTTAAAAATTAAAAAAAGCTTATATATCTTGCTTATATATCTTTTCGGGAACTAAAAGCTAAAAAAAATCCAAAATTTTTTTCAAAAATTTCCAAATTTGCAAAAAAAAATTTCGCGAAAAAATCGTGTTTCTGGAGTCAAAATATACTACCGCTAAAAATATTTGCACTTATTTAAGACTCGCCCTGTATATCCTTTCAAAAAAATCGATATTGTTATTTTTGACTTATTACACATTTTTTACTTAAAATTTATAAAGAGCCGTCAATAGGCCAATTTCAAGAGCATTTTAATTCTCTTTAAATATTATTATGCATTTAAAAGATCCGAAAATTTAAAAACCGTTTTTTATTTTTTCATCCACTGTATATGACTAAGAAGTTATTGAAATCAAAATATTTCAAAAAAGTTCAATTTTGGCCCCAAAATGATTTTGAAATCTTGTTTTTTAACGCTTTTTTTCAAATTTACATTGGCTTCACTCATTCAACTACTTCCATTGACTGAAACTAATTATGTTTGGATAGAGAATGGATGGCGGTCTTCTGTGGCGGTTTGTTATTTCTTAGTTATGTATAGGGTGTTTTAGAACTCGAACAAAAGTCGAAATTTTGCAAAATCTGAAAAAAGGAAATTTCTCGAAAATAATAAATGGTGAAATGGCTATTTACCTATGGATAGAATAATTATCTATGGATAGAACCCTATTTATGGTCCCATATAAACTGTATTACTAAAATAAATAGCTTAAAGTTTTTAATATAAAGTTTTCAATTGAATATTTGAAATTTTCAATTGCCACTTTTCTTGATATACTCCCATGATTTTTTTAATTTTTCCAGAGCACTAATACTTTCTTTATACGTTATTTCTTATTCCTAGAAGGATGGTTTGTAGAAAAAATATTTTGATCATGTTATTGATGTCACTAAATAAACCCTTGTATAAAGTTTTA